TATCTGTGGTCACCTGCTACTTCTCGAGTGGATTTCTAGTAAATAAGGCCACAATGCTGAATTTATATGACAGTTATAACTATCCGTTTCCCTATTCCTGTGAATTCCAGTCCCCCAAGGTTGTAGTTGTTTCTTCGAGTAGATTGACTACTCACTGGAAATGAATTTGCTTAATTTCTAAATATTACAAATTCGCTTCTTCCCTGCGATCCCTTTTCTTCTGGTTAATGATAAGTCCTTTATCTAGGCATCTCTTTTTTTGTTGGTCTTACCATATCTTTGTTTGCTCTGAGTTTGCTTAGGCAATAGGCAAAATTATCGTTAACTCTCCCTTATTCTAGCCTCTCGTCCATTAAATTTATTTTAGTAAGGATGACGATGGCCTCCCTAATCTTTCGTTTTTTCGTATTTTTGCCGTATCAGATCCCTCTTTTTATTGCTTTCAAATTGATCTCGTATCTATACTATGCTATATGTGCAATGTGATATTTCTAATCTTTCGGTATCCATTTTCTTGCAGAGCCATTAATAGTCCGTGGTTCGCATGCTGATTTTTCTCGGTTTTTTTCCAATAGATTTCAATTTGCAGACGCCACATGTTATGCAGTAAATTCCATGGAAACCTAATTTGTCTACCCTCTCGTGCTGCGTGAACAAACTTGTGAAGTGCTGTTTTTTCCTTCGTGGTCACCCAAATATTCTTAATATTGGCCGTAATTTTTTAGTTAGTCCTCAGGAAGGTAGACACATCCACTTTTGTGAGTCGTTCTCCATCCTTGTTTTTCTTTCATAATACCCGTCTTGCCATTAGTTTTTCACGACCCTTTGTTTCTTCGAATTATTTCTCTAAAGAATTCGTTGCAGAGGGACATCTGAATCAATTTGTCAAATTCCTTATCCCAGAATTTTACGTCAGTTAATCGTAGGCTTCTGATGACTATGCTCTTCATTATTCCAATATTCAGTCTATAGTGGCATATGACTCCTTTCTGCACAATTTACTCCTGAATGTCCCATTCGAGCAAATGACGTTAACATCCTGGAAAGGTTACCTCTTCTCTTCCTCCATTTTCATTATGAATTTGCTATATTAATCAGTCAGGCTTATAAACTTCAGGAAATCCTCCAATTCTTCTTTTCCATGCTACCAATGTGCAAAGGAGACCTCTAGGTGCTGCATGAGCACTCTTGGTTGCAGCGTTGACGTCTTTAAATCCTCTTCTAATTTGTTCATGCATACTTTTTAATGAGATGGTCCTTAGTGTAAAGTTGATCAGTCGTGTTAAAGAAACCTTCCTGATCCTCTCCGTTTCCTGGAAATCCTCTTATCGGTCCAACATCTCTAGTAGGGCCGTTAGCGCATTCTTTCCAGATATATTTTTTATGAACACACTGCACGTCAAAACTTAATAATAATTATGTTCCTTTCGGAGACATGTATTCAATACTTAGAGAAAAATTATATGAATTTTTTACTGTGTTTGATAGACTGTCGTCTAGCTTCTCGAGTTTCAAACATAGAAACCTGGCAAATTTGTGTGCTCCTCCATACTTATTTTTTTAGCTTATAAGCAGATTTGAGAGACTTTCGATGAGAATAACTTTTAGAAAGCAGGGCTATGCCAAATTAAATGGATACGTAAGGTATAGTCATATTATTGTGGGAAGATTCGATGATCAGTTTCCTTATTACCTTAAAAGAAACAGATTGAATACCTCTTATATATTGCTCCATACGTGTTGTTAACTATCGGCCTTAGCATTTCCTCCTATTTGTATATCTTCGGTAATCCGTAAATTGTGGATGATCGCACATCCTTTCTTATTAAAAGTCCATTCATCGATCTCGCCGTTCCTATGCATATCTTTCAGCATGACACGTAAGGTCACATTGATCTTCATAGTTGGGTTCTTCTTTGGTACACGCTATCAAAACCTGTCTCGTAGCATACATTCCATCTTCTCGGTGCATTGTCGTTGCTCCTCCTTTATCCGCCTAAAGAATTAATTTCTAATTCATTTGTAGAGCCAAACGTATCCTCGCAGATATGTTCATTTTTGTTAGATCTCCATTCCCCGTCTTGTATCTTAAGAGAATTTGTCGGGGATATTGATGACCTCTACAAAGATTTGTTCTATAATGTTTGTATTGTTTTGAAGAGAAAAATTCGGCCCTTTTTTAAGGATTGTGGTTATTTTGAGATCAAGTGGGATCGAGGATAAATTCACCACTTTAGACCGATAGTCTTACTGATCAGTAGGTACTATCACCTGAGAAACCATATCAACTTGGCGCACCGGCTTTTATTTACGCTGCCTTGTAATCCTATAACTAAGTTATTTTTCATATCTACTTGTTATTAAATCAGAGATCCAACGTGATTGCTTGTCGGCCATAATATGGAATTTTTGAAAATCTTCTAGCATCAGAATCCAGGTCAGATCATGCCGGAGCTTTGACTCAATATCTCTAAATTTAGATATTTTATTCCGATAGGCCCTCGAATCCCTTCCCCAAACACTTTTACTCGAAATGGAAGTAAGCTCAACAATTATTAAACAAGTGGTTCCTCAAAACCCAACTTTTATTCGCATATATTAGATTTTTTATTATTCTCCATATCAAAGGTCTATCTTAACTTATAAGTGGAGGCCTGTTGAAGAAACTCATTAACCCTATCCGCATGGTAGGGTCTCTTAAGTTCACGGCTGTAGATTGGTGCTGCGAATGGAAAGACTCACCGACGATGCCGATAACGAACCTGGCGAAACGTCTGGAAATATGCCACGTTCACGATCCAACACTGAGAATTATAGCTACGGTTGCAAAATACTTCGGACCAGGTGCGTCCAATTAGGTCGCCTTGACAACACGACCAAGTTGCGAAAACGAGATCAGACCACTTTTACACTAATTAGTTTAAAAATAAGATGGGGGTTAAAAATCGACCATAACTATTTCCTTTGGCAGCTGAATGGTAATTAATTTGGATCCTCTGGTCCAACCAGTTTTATAAAAGTTTATTTGACTAATTTTATCATTGATCAATTCGCTTCATAACATACTTGAAGATATCCTTCCTTATGCCTTGACTTTTATTCCTGATTTTAGTACCGTTTTTTCCTCGTCGAAAGGGATAGTCTGTCACGCAAAATTAATTAAGTTCATAAACAAGGCTATTTTATACTGTCTACCCTGCGCTGATAAGCATTATCTTAACTTTTAAGCATGCCAAACAATATCAACTATTCTAGACCAGTGAGAATATAAATGATCACCTTACCGTTTTTATGCCGAATCGTCGTCATCAGCCTTTCTTGCCTTCCATGTAATCTTCAAGAAATTTTTTGTCGCAATATCAGTACTCCGAAGTTTTCATCCAATATTTGGTAGTCATGTAAGTTCACTTTGAAGATAAAACGCGCCTGTAATCAGATAGCTTTGGCCAAAATAAAAGCTTGTTTGTGGCAAGTATACGTGGATTATCCCTTAAGTTAATGTATACTTCATTTACCCCGAATTCACTGTCTCATCCTTCCAAGTTTGAAGCAGACCATAGCGCCGTTAGGATACACGATAAACATAAATTTTAAGACAAAGCAAGACTTGATAAATTCATATCTCTCAGGTTTGTGAGAGCTGCACGATTCAGTAAGTGCCTTGTGCATATACTATAGATTTATTTACTTGCTTTCGAACTCACACGTAAAGCACTCTATTCTCACTAGAGACGATGAGGCAAGATCAAAACTATAATCCACCTTGAGTAGGAGAGACCTTTTGGTTACGAAGCGCATTGTAGTTTAATTCACAAATAAAGTTTTCTATGTCCGATAAATCTAGACTCTAAATTTCTGTTGGTATATTGTTATAATATGTGGTAGGCTGGTCGTGCCCAACTGTTTTTTTACCATTTTGGCAGACTCTCTCAAGAGTTAAGACTTAGGATATCACACTTTATAAATTAACTAAGTTGCATGAGCTTTGCTCAGAGGAACTAAAAAATAGAACCTATATGTAGGCAAAAAATCAAGTGGTAAACATCTGGCAGAGTGGTTGTAATATGATACTATCGTTTATATTGACAAAATTTCGATTAAAAAATGTTATCTAAGAGGCTTATGCTGAAGGTTATTCGAAAAATGTGACAAACTCAGCTCATTATGTTTAGAAGAAACAAACATGGTGGACTTGATTTAGAAAAATGGCTCTTCTTAAATATTAATAATAAACTACGATAATACTCTTACTCCCATGGATAGCCTCATTTAAAAAATAAACCGTTTACCCCAGTCCACTAAAATACCACTTTTCAATTCACACGTAGATAATGTAAATAGTACGTTAAACTTATAAGGGAAACTTACACATTCAGATGAGAGTATATGCACAAACCCAATAGGAATGATATATAGTAGCATGCATTTTATATAGTAAGAAAAAATGGTATTCGATAAATCTCACAACATATCAGAATTGAACTGACTTTAATTGCGTGTAAAAGACTGAGGTAAAAAGATGTATCGGTTTTACCAGAAAGCAATGGTGGATTCGCCAAGTTGATTTTATTGGGATGTTCAGGCTTACTAATTAGTCGAAATATCTTGTTCAATTCCAGTGAAAGGAGACTGAACTTTTGTTTGTAATAAAAAAGTCAGTTCACATATTAATTAAAAAGCCTCATATTGTATAGGTTAACTGAATCCATATAGACTATCATCTGGTTTTAGGCTATTTAATGAAGTACTCAAATGGTCTTGTATACTGATTAGGTATATGAAGCCAATTTTAATAATAAACCACTGGAAGGATGCGGATAAAAAAACTTTCGCAAGTAAAAGACGGTTAAAAAGTTTGCTTCATTTCAAACTCTTCGCAAAAAGGTCTGGATACAATAGAAAATGAGTGAACAAAGCTTTTAAGGGTTAAGGCATATAATCCCAAAGACCTAATCTCTGCCTTAGATTTGACCTTTGTTTTCCTTGCGAATCTATTTAGTTTAGATGTTCTTGCGCAAGCATTGTGAATGCTTCATAATAAAAATTTAAAAAAAACAATAAAGCTCGTCATGTCTGTCGTCATGTCCTTTTATTTTCCATTTTAAATCTATTGGAAGCTATTAATTCTTCTGTAAAGCAAAATGAAACAAGCCGTGTTGCAAAAACAATTCACTCACCTGAAATATGCCAGATGCCATTAGTAAAGGAGTAAAAATGAGGGCGACAAGGGCAAGCTTCCAGCCGTTTAAAAATGCGATCGTCAGAGTCGTTACGATTAGCACAAGGGCCTCGCATACTTCTCCGATACGAGCACCAGATAGGCAAGTAAGGTAGGAGGCCTCAGTAGCCAGATTCGCGGTAAGAATACCAGGGGAGTGGTTTGGCTCATCGAACCAGCCATATTCCTTATCAAGAAAGAAGTGTTAGGTAAAGAGGACATATTAACCAGCAGAAAGGTTTTACAGGTTATATAATGCACCTTTTCTCAATATTTGGGAAGAAAGTATTTGAATTTTGCTGTTAAACAAACGCAAAGTATAAAAGTAGGTGACCTCGTTGTCGCAACTTGGTCTTGTTGTCAGAGGGACTATGTAGAACGCACCTAGTCCGAAGTCGTCTGCCATAGTAGTTGTCATGATTACCAGCATCTGACACTTGACTTGATACATTCTCAAACGATTCCCCGACATCGTAGTCGGCCTGATCAGTCAGTTTTGCCATTCTCCGCACCAAGCTACGAACGCGTCAGAGGCAAGTGAAGTCAATCGCTCGACAAGCGTTCTGCTGAAAACGGTTACACTATCACTCCTTTTTTTGGCATTTTCTATCTATCTACTCTTTACACTCTTATCCCATTGCCACCCTATCACAACTTCTCACTTGTTTACATTCCAATCGTCAAAATGTGTGCCCT